TTTCAATGTCGGCGAAACTAAACTCTGGTATTCCAGAACTGCAACGATAAAATTGTGACGACAACACCTCGGAGCTCAACTCTCCGGGACACTGCCACAACCCCTAAATGTCAAGAGCCACCAAGAACAATGTTCTCGTCACAAATCGATCGGAACGATTCAAGATACCCGCGTGATCCTAAATTTTTTTTAGTGAAATTTGAGAAGAGAAGAGTCAAAACTCTACGTCAGGATGCCTCACCAGGGCGACGAAGGGACTGAGGAGTAAAAAGAAGTCCTAACTCTCCGATATATATAATTCCTAAAAGACTCAAAACATTTCTAGACTCAATAACGCCAGCGGTTCGATCAAGCAGGGGGCTCCTAAGGTCGGGGAAGGCTCTGATTACCAACTTGTGACGCCCTCGATGCGGCTATATCTCCCACGTGTCGAAGCACGACTTAGAGGCATAACCGCATTGAAAGCAATGTCGCAAGTGAGGTAATCTTCGCAAACAACCCATGTAATACAATAAGGGAAAAGATACATAGTTGGCTTACAATCGCCACTTCACACAAATACATGAATAAAGCATTACATCATCCAGATACAATCAAGGTCCGACCACAGAACCAAAATAAAAGAAGACTACCCCAAATGTTACACAGATCCCCGATTGACCCCAACTGGGCCCCACTACTAAACAACAAGAACGAAACAACACAAAGGACACGATCTTCATCGAGGCTCCTCCTTGAGCTTGGTTGCGTCATCTGCACGGTTCAACGGCACCTGCAAACTGGTTTTGGAAGTATCTGTGAGTCACAGGGACTCAGCAATCTCACACCCTCGCGATCAAGACTATTTAAGCTCATGGTAAGGTAAAAGGTGTGAGGTGGAGCTGCAGTAAGCGACTAGCATATATGATGGCTAACATACGCAAAAGAGAGCGAGAAGAGAAGGCAAAGCACGGTCGAGAAACTATGATCAAGAAGTGATCCTAGGACAACCTACGTCAAACATAACTCCAACATCGTGTTCACTTCTCGGACTCCGCCAGAAAGAGACCATCACGGTTACGCACGCGGTTGATGTATTTTAATTAAGATAAACTTCAGGTTTTTGACAACTGGACATTAACAAATTCCCATCTGCCCATAACTGCGGGCACGGCTTTTGAAAGTTCAAATCCCTGTAGGGGTGTCCCAACTTAGCCCATCACAAGCTCTCACGGTCAACGAAGGATATTCCTTCTAGCGGGAAGACCCGATCAGGCTCGGAATCCCGGTTACAAGACATTTCGACATTGGTAAAATAAGACCAGCAACACCGCCCGAATGTGCCGGCAAATCCCGATAGGAGCTGCACATATATCATTCTCAGGGCACACTCAGATGAGCTCTCCATACAACTAAAACCAAACCTCGAGTTTCCCCGAGGGGGCGCTGCACAGGGCTCTAGTTTGGACCAACACTCAGAGGAGCACTGGCCCGGGGGGGTTAAAATAATAATGACCCTTGAGTCTGCAGAACCCAAGGGAAAGAAAAGGCTAGGTGGCGAATGGTAAAACCAATGTTGGGCATTGCTGGAGGAGTTTTATTCAAGGCGAACTGTCAAGGGGTTCCCATTATAACCCAACCGTGTATGGAACGCAAAATCCGGGAACATAACACCGATATGACGGAAACTAGGGCGGCAAGAGTGGAACAAAACACCAGGCATAAGGCCGAGCCTTCCACCCTTTACCAAGTGTATAGATGCATTAATTAAATAAGACATATTGTGATATCCCAACAAGTAAACAGGTTCCAACAAGGAACAACATCTCCATGTTCCAACAAGGAACAAACTTCAATCTTCACCTGCAACTAACAACGCTATAAGAGGGGCTAAGCAAAGCGGTATAAACAACGGTTTGCTAGGACAAGGTGGGTTAGAGGCTTGATTCAACAATATAGGAGGCGGGATAAGCAAGTGGTAGGTATCGCAGCATAGGCACAGCAAAAGAGCGAGCATCTAGCAAGCAAAGATAGGAATGATTTCGAGGGTATGGTCATCTTGCCTGAAATCCTGCAAGGAAGAAGAACGAGTCCATGAAGAAGACAACCAGACGTAGTCGAATGGATCCTCACAAACGCGACGTTATCGGAACCAACCCGAAGAAGCAACACCGAAAAGAAGCACACAACATAGTAAACAACCAACACCTGAACATGGCATGATGCACAACCAAGTATGATGCATGTCCGGTTTAATGAAGCATGGCATGGCAAAGTGCAAAAGCAATCCTACAACTTAAGTGGAGCTCGATATGCAACTCCGTTGCATATTGACGAAACACCACGTGACTTATTTAGTTCTCTCCCATTTGTGTACCCAACAATATTAAATGTTGATTAACATGGCAAGAGGGTGAAGCAAAGTAAAACTACCTATCTAGTCACGTTTAAATGAGGCCGGAAGCAACGGACAACAATTCCGGTAAATCCCCATATGCATATATTAGGTTTGGTACTGTTCTGCCCCTAAACCATATTTTATAGTTGTTAAACATGCAAAGTGGTGCCACCATGTTAAACTAGGCATTTTTCTACCCCATTTACATATAAAGTTTGTTACAAACCGAGTTACGGTTAAATAGTTATGAATTAAATCATTTTAGCAAGTTATTTAAGCAAAGTTAAACAAACAGCATTATAAACATTTTGAACATGTATGGAAATGACATATTATGAAACTACACAAAATTCTAAGCAACTTTCATATATAAATCATTTTAATCCAGTACATAGATGATGAGTTATTATATGCTTGAAACAGGAGGGTTTTTCTGTAAAAACTACTGACTCTGAAAAATAGGAAAAACGTTCTATGTAAAAAAAAATAGGATACGGGCCGGATCTGGTTGGCCCATCAGGTAATGAAAATGGAGGGCGCTGGGATGTGGGTGGCTTACCCATGGGCCACGGCCCAGTCAGCGGGCTGCAGCAGATCGGCTAGGGCTGTGGGCCGCGGTCAACGGCGAAGGGGAGGGGACTGGGCCTAGGCGCATGGCTGGAGAGGAGATCGACCTGCTTGGGCGGGTTGACGATGCGGTCAACGCGCGCGCAGTTGCCTGGCATTGCTCGATGCAGAAGGAAGCAGAGATCATGGGGATGAACATGGAGAAGCATGGACGTCGAAGGCTGATGGCGGCGCGGCTGCAGAAACCTGGGGCGGTGGACGGCGGGAGGCAGCGAGGTTGGCCGGATCCGAACAGATCCGAGCGGGGCCGATCCATTCCCGGCGGTGGGAGACGACTCCGGTGCGGTGGAGCTCCAGTGGCGCGGGCGCAAAGCTTCAGGCAATCCTGGCATCGTCCCTGTGAGGGAGAGCTGGAGGAGCTCGGGCCTCAGGTGCGGGAGCAGAGGGGCCGAGGCGCCATGGCAGGGAAACGGCAGCAGCAGCGGGGGAGCTTGGCGGCATCCATGGCTGGCGGCGTTGTATGGTTCCTGCAGCGCCACGGTAGAGAGAGGGAGCACGCGGTGAGAGAGAGAGAGAGGAGAGAAGGACGAGGAAGGAAGAGGCAGGGGCGCAGGTCCTGCTGCAGGTGGTCTCCGACGAGACCGGCCGGCGACGAGGGACTCGAGGAGCTCCTCTCCTTTGGGTTCGAGCGGGGCAGGGAGGAAGAAAACGCATCGGACGGGAGGCGGCGGCTGCGGGATGCCTCGGGCTCCTCTGGTTCGACGCGCAGCAGACGCGGGAGGCGAGACGAGGCTGGATTGGTGGATCGAGGGGAAGCAGAGGCTGGCGCTGGTTGGCTGGATCAGATCTGGGAGGATCCCGAGAGGGGATTAGGTGGAAAGTGCGGCGGCGGGTGAAGGGACAAACCTCCTAATTTCTAGGGTTTGACCAAAAAGGACTAGGGGTGGGCGAATATATACACCACGGGTTAGGTTAGGGGCTATCTCGACCCTACGATCGTAATCGGACGATCGCGGATAAAATAGCTAGAGAGTCCAATTAACAAAATGGAGATATTTTGTAGATGTTTGGGGATGATCCGGATCCAACGGTGACGACTGCTCGGGTCGGGTCCGGGACAACTTTTGAACGCGCGCGCGAGGATTGGCCTCGGGCGGACGAGAGAGGTTAGGTAGGGTCTGACGGTGAGTAGTGGACTGTGCAGAAGGTCTCAGGCTGAGAGAAGAGAAGAGAGGCCCGACGACTGTTTCCGAGACCGAAAATGTCCGACGTTAGACCGACTATATTGCCGCTATAGATTAACGGTTGGGCTATCCAACGAACTCCGAATGCGATGAAACTTGACAGGCAGTCTATCTACACTATAATAAGACCACACGCCAACTTTCAATCCAATCCGAGAACATTTTTCGGCCACTTATAAAATAATAATTCGGACGTGCCGCGGACGCGTGCAAGTGTGTCTGGGCTCAGAACGGACAACGAATGGAACTGGGGGAACCCGGACGGATGCAAGTTTTGAAAACATGAAGATGCAATGCACATGATGACATGACAAGATGCAACACGCAAGCAAAAGACAAGGCAACAACAGCGAATAACTGAAGGACACTTGGCACATCGATCTCGGGGCGTTACACGCCGGATCCATGGTGGCGAGGAGTCGTTGGCGATCGACGGCTTGCTTGCGCGTCTCCAGCGTGTAGGAAGAGGGGCGGTTTGGCGACTGATACGACGTGTTAGGTACACACTAGTTCTTCTCCTCTCAACTATGGTGATCTGAATCAGGTAGCAGTACAATTGGGGAAGGAGATGAGAAGGGGATCAGGATTACAGAGAGGTACACACACACACGCCGCCGCCGCCGCCTGATCCTAGTGGGCATGCCCGCTCTCTACCTTCTACGTGCCTTATATCCTTCTGCAACCTGGTCTCCTGAGCTGAACATGTAGGAGATCCATTGGGGTCCAGTAAACTTATGGCAAGGCCTCCTCTCCCTTCTGGGCCGGCTTGGTACCGTGGCTTCTCTCGGCCCAGGTGTAGCTGGGACGCTAACATAGTACTCCTGCCGGACGACGACAGAGAGCAGGGGAAGGGTGAGGAGAATGAGCAGCGCGGTGGCCGACGCGGCGTAGGCAGCGTGCGAGAAGCCGCTCTGCTTCTGGACGATGATCATCACGAGTATGTAGGAGGCGAGGGCGACGGAAATGTAGAGGAAGCAGAAGAAAGCGCCATCCTCGTTTCGTCTAGGCGGCGGCGGCTTGACGCGAACGACGGGGAGGAAGACGACGGAGACGGATGCGGGGAGCCATGCGATGAGCAGCAGGATTGTAAGACAATAGGCTTTGGGGGGAACCGGCACAACCCTCTAGGGGTGGCCTATCACATATATATATATAATGAGGTGGTATACAACGTTACAATATACACATGTAGATACAGTCTAACACCCTCCCTCAATCTTAGCCACTTTCTAATGAATCTAGAAGGGTAAGATTGCGCCTGCAAGTCTCAAACTGTGGCAAAGGCAATGGCTTGGTGAAGATGTCAGCAAGTTGATCCTTGGAAGAAATAAACTTGATCTGTAGTTGCTTCTAAGAGACACGTTCACGCACAAAGTGATAGTCAACTTCAATGTGTTTCGTTCGGGCATGGAATACCGGATTTGCAGAAAGGTATGTAGCACCGATGTTATCACACCAAAGAACAGGAGGCTGTGATTGGGGTATACTTAACTCCTGAAGCAAGGACTGTACCCAGATAATCTCTGATGTGGCATTGGCCACAGCCTTATACTCAGCCTCAGTACTGCTATGCGAGACAGTAGCCTGTTTCCGAGCACTCCAAGCAATCAGGTTAGAGCCAAAGAAGACAGCATAACCCCCCGTGGATCGCCTATCATCCGGATTGCCAGCCCAGTCTGCATCAGAATATGCTGAAAGACAACCAGAGTCAGACGGCCGAATATGCAAACCATGAGCCACCGTGAAACGAATATAGCGCAAAATCCGCTTAACAGCAGACCAATGAGTGTCACGGGGTGACTGCAGATACTGACAGACTCGGTTAACAGCATAGGAAATGTCTGGTCGCGTGATCGTCAAGTACTGGAGCCCACCAACAATACTCCGGTACTCGGTCGCATCAGAAGAAGAAAGAAGCACACCATCAACAGCATTGAGCTTATCAGTGGTAGACATGGGTGTAGTCGTCGGTTTGCATTTAAGCATCCCAGCTCGCTGCAACAAATCCAGGGAGTACTTCTTCTGCGTCATAACAAGGCCAGCAGCACGAGAAGTAACCTCCACACCAAGAAAGTAATGAAGCTTCCCAAGGTCCTTGACCGCAAAATCAGCACCAAGTGAGCGAACAAGCGCAGTAGCAGCCGACTGAGAGGAGCTGACCAAAATGATATCATCTACATAGACCAACAAGTACATAGTAACCTCAGGCCTTTGAAGAAGAAACAATGAGGAGTCAGCAGTTGATGATGCAAAACCATGAGCACGAAGAGCCATTGCAAGACGAGCATGCCAAGCACGAGGAGCCTGCTTCAGACCATAAATTGCCTTGGACAGACGACAGAGATGATCAGGGCGATCCGGATCAGAGAAACCCGGAGGCTGGCGCATGTAAACCTCCTCCGCCAAGACACCATGAAGAAAAGCATTTTGAACATCAAGCTGACGAAGAAACCAACCTCGAGTAACAGCCAGAGAGAGAAGAAGTCTGATGGTAGTAGGCTTGACCACTGGACTGAAGGTGTCTTCATAGTCAAGTCAAAAACGCTGTCGAAAACCACGAGCAACCAGAGAGCCTTATAGCGCTCAATGGACCCATCAGAATGCCTCTTCACTTTGAAAACCCATTTGGAATCAATGACATTTACCCGTGATTCTGGAGGAACAAGAGTCCATGTCTGATTGCGAAGAAGCGCTTGATACTCCTACTCCATGGCCTCTCTCCAATGAGGAATGCGCATAGCAGCTTGATACGTGCGTGGCTCAGAGGATGGATCTGCGAGAGCAGCAGACATGCACGCCGCTAACCAAGCAACTGTGCCATCGTGACGTTGCTTAGGCTGAAAAATGCTACTCCGACTGCGCGTATGTGGACGTAGAGCAGCAGCAGGAGCCGGCGGAGGCGAAGGTGACGGAGACGTGACGGTCGCCGGAGATGCAGGAATCACCTCAGGCGAGCTCGGGACAGACGACTCCGGGCTGCATGGCGAAGACTGGTCCGACGACAGGGGCTCAGAGGCCATGGGCGAACCGAGGGTGGGCGAGGCCAGCTCCGGTGACACCAGCCCAGACGGCCTTGGCGAGGCGAGAGCAGGCGAGGCCGGCCCTGGTGAGAAGGGCCCAGACACCCTGGGCGAGGCAGGGGCGGGCGAGGCCAGGCCTGGTGATGACTGCCCCGACGCCCTGGGCGAGACGGGGACCGAGGAGGCCGGCCCAGTCGGCGGGGTTGCAGGGCGCGACGATGGCGAAGGCAGCCCAGAAGCCAGAGGCGACCGGGCCAGGACGTCGATCGGCCGTGCATGAGCACGGAAACCGAGGCCATGCAGGGGCGCCATGTGCTCCTCATGCACAACAGAAGGTGCCGAGGATGAAGGCGATGGCGACGAAGAGGAAGATGGCGCTTCCAGAATCTCCAAACGAGCCCCACGACCAGTGCCTGCACCATGGTTAGGCAACAATAGAGGAGAATAACATCATCAAATTGGTCAGAAGCAACAGAGGATGAATGCATGACAGGTGGCTCGGTAGTGGACACAGGGAGTTTGGCAAAGGGAAAAACATGCTCATCAAACACAACATCCCGAGAGATGTAGACACGATTAGTGGGAACATGAAGACATTTGTATCCTTTATGAAGAGAGCTATAACCAAGAAAAACACACTTCTTGGAACGAAACTCGAGCTTACGCTTGTTATATGGACGAAGATGGGGCCAGCAAGCACACCCAAACACCTTGAGAAAGGTGTAGTCCGGTTGTTCATTAAGGAGAACTTCAGTGGGAGTCTTCATATTCAAAACACGAGTGGGAGTACGATTGATGAGAAAACATGCAGTGGTGAAAGCATCACTCCAAAAACGAAACGGAACAGATGCATGGGCCAAAAGAGTCAGACCAGCTTCAACAATGTGACGATGCTTACGTTCTACTGAACCATTCTGCTGATGTGTATGTGGACATGCTAAACGGTGAGTGATCCCAAGCGACTGAAAGAAGGAGTTGAGGTTGCGATACTCGCCACCCCAGTCTGACTGAACGTGAACAATTTTGTGCTTGAGAAGGCGTTCAACATGTTTTTGGAACTGAACAAAAATGTCAAACACATCAGATTTACGTTTGATAAGATAAAGCCAGGTGAAGCGGCTGTAAGCATCAACAAAACTGATATAATAATTGTGACCACTAACAGAAGTCTAAGCAGGACCCCATACATCTGAAAACACAAGTTCTAAAGGATGTTTCACCTCACAACTGGACTCCAAAAAAGGAAGTTGATGACTCTTCCCCTGCTGACAAGCATCACACACTGCTACATCTTTATTACTAGACACACTAGGAAGCTCATGACGACGCAAAACATGTCGGACAATAGGTGTGGCCGGGTGACCAAGACGAGCATGCCACTGTGACGGAGATACCCGAACTCCACTGAAGACGCGAGCGACGCCAGGATGCTCCAGACGATAGAGACCTTGGCAGAGCCGCCCACTAAGAAGAATGTCCCTCGTGCCCCGATCCTTAATAAAAAGATCAAAAGGATGAAATTCACAAAGCACATTATTATCACGAGTGAGTTTAGGAACTGAAAGAAGATTACGTGTCACAGATGGAACTCGAAGAACATTGCGAAGTTGAAGACTCCTATTGGCATGTCTAGTGAGAAGTGATGCTTGACCAATATGAGAGATGTGCATACCTGCTCCATTGGCGGTGTGGATCTTGTAGGAGCCATGGTAGGGTTCACGAGTGTGAAGCTTCCCCATCTCACTGGTCAGGTGCTCTGTCGCCCCAGAGTCCATGTACCAGTGGGGATCAATGGAGTAGGACTGAGTGTGTCCCTGTGGCTTCTGCGGCGGCGGACGATCAGCCATGGCGACCTGACGAGCAAAGTTGCGTGTATCCTTCCCGTCATTGCCAAGACCAAGAAAACCCCGCTGGAAGCGCTTGTGACACTTCGAGGCCCAGTGCCCATCGCGACCACAAAGCTGGCACACACGTGGACCGCCAGCCCCTGGTAGCGTCGCAGTAGGAGGAGGGGCCGAGGCGGGTGATGGTGACTGCCCCGAAGGAGCCCTGGATGAAGCAGAGGAGCGACCACCCTTGGTGGCGGCGTTTGCCGAGAGGGCTCCGTTGCCCCTGGATCGGCGCGTCTCGACTCGTTGCTCAGTAAGCAGGAGGCGTGAAAAGACCTCGTGTGCTGGCATGGGCGTGGAGTTGCCCCTCTCATTGATGATCTCGACTAGGGCGTCATACTCCTCATCAAGACCATTGACAATAAAGGAGTTGAACTCGGAGTCGGTGAGGGGCTGTCCAATGGAGGCCAGCGTGTCGGCGAGACTCTTGACTTTGTTGTAGAACTCAGTGGCAGTGGAGTCAAGCTTCTGACACTCCCCAAGTTGGCGACGGAGTCCAGATACACGAGCCTGCGACTGTGCCGCAAACGAGCGCTCAAGAATAGTCCATGCCTCGTGGGACGTCTTGGCGAAGACAACAAGCCCAGCAACGGCCGGAGAGAGCGACCCCTGGATGGAGGAGAGGTTCGCCTGATCCTGCCCTGTCCAGACACGGTGAGCCGGATTATAGACCGGACCATGCACGCTGTCAACCAGCGCAGGAGGGCAAGGGAGAGAGCCGTCGACATAGCCAAGCAGGTAGTGACTCCCAAGAAGCGGAAGAACCTGCGCGCGCCAGAAGATGTAATTGTCCGACGACAACTTGATGGTGATGAGATGGCCGAAGTGAAACGGCGGCGGCGGCTGCGATCCCATCGAGGAGACTGGCTGAGGTGAGAACACCGTGGAGACAGTCGGAGGGGCAGCCGGCGCGGTGACAGAGGGCGCGATGGCCGCGGTTGACGCCGCGAAGCCTGCCAGCGCGACGTCCTCCGCCACCAGCAGCGCAGTGGCCGAGGGCGCGACAGCCGCGGTTGACGGGGCGGCGGTGGTGTGGGCCACAAGCGCCTGCCCGGGCGAAGTAGCAGCCGGCGGGAGCGCGAAGAGGGAGCCGACGCTCCGTGTCCCGATCGGCGCCTGAAGGGAGGCGGCATCCAGCGGCCTCGAGAGAAGTGCCGCGAGGGAGGCCGGCAGAAAACCGGTGGCGGTGGAGCCGGACGCAGCGGCGGACGTCATAGCAGTCGGGCGACGGCGGCGGCGGGCGCGGCGGTGGCGGCGGCGGCGGCGGCGGCGGTTTAGGGTTTTTAGGCGGAAGCGGACGTAACCTAGCGTGATACCATGTAAGACAATAGGCTTTGGGGGGAACCGGCACAACCCTCTAGGGGTGGCCTATCACACATATATATATATATAATGAGGTGGTATACAACGTTACAATATACACATGTAGATACAGTCTAACAAGGATGGACTTGGAGTCGTCCCCGCCGTAGATGGCGAGGTAGAGCTGCGTGAGGATGGCGCCGCTGAGGCCGACGTAGCCCTTGAGCAGGCCCAGCACGACCCCGCGGCCGCTCCCTGGAAAGCTCTTGACGCAGGTGATGAGCGCGCCGGTGCCGGCGAAGGACTGCGAGTTGGCTCCAGCGCAGACGTAGGCGCACATGAGCCAGAGCGGCGGGCGCGTCGTCCGGCCGGCGACGACGAGGTAGACCATGAGGTAGCCGGTGAGGTTCATGGCGGCGCCGACGGCGAGCACGGCCGAGGGGGGCGCGACCTCGTTCAGGAGGCCGGCGACGACGCCGACGTTGCTGCCGAGGTCCTTGAAGAACGCGAGCGTGTTGAGCGTGCACTGGTCGTAGCCCAGCGACGACTTGAGCGCCGTGGAGTAGATGCCGAAGGCGTAGGTCGCCCCGACGCGGACAGGATGAGCAGGCACGCGAGCGCCATGAACCACCGCCCTGCCACCACCTGTCGGGCGAACCGCAGTGTCACCACCTCCGACTCCGACACGCCCGCGCCACTGCCGGACACCATAACCATTAATTAATATTGGCGCGCGCCAAGAAGATCCTCCTCCGCACGTACGGTCGCAGTAGAGTTGGTGCGTATGATTCACATGAAATGTGTTGGTTTGGTTATGATGATTCGATGATTGATACTACTGGTAGTTTGTTTGGTTGCCCGCAAAAAAAAAGTAGTTTGTTTGGCCAGATTAATGAAATTTGAAGAGTGTACTGTACTACTAGTATGATAGTGCGATTTTCAAGCGATTTGATTACTATTGTTTTTGCCGACTTGGACAACGGCAATGATCAACTTGTAAGGATTAATCTTCTCTTCGTGGGAGGCCGGCAACAGACTGCACCCATGATTTTCTTTTCATGCATAAACCCTTGTACGGATGAGACGAAAGGATGAAAAGTACAGTTCACAATAAAACAGTATAACTCGAGACTACGACTCGCGGATTACACTGGTAGCACTGGTATCCATACCAAATGCGTTCACATGTTCGGTAATCTTCTAGGAGTATGCATGTAAAAGCATCTCCAACAGATGCTCTACGTAGTCGCGCGCTAAATTTTTTTTACAACGTCAAAATAGTGTTTTAGCGCATCGGATGATCGAGTATTTCCCGCAGATGCTTAAAAATATACTGTCCAGCTAGCAACAATAGCAATTTCAACAGGCGCCTAAAATTAACCATGCCCGTCCGTACCCAGCTCGCCCCGCCGTGGCCGTGGCCGCGCTCCGCCTTGTCGTGGCCGTGCCGCCTGTGGCCATGGGCGTGCTCCGCCTCGTCGTGGCCGTGGCCGCGCTCTTCCCAGCCCCGCCATTGCCGTGGACATGGTCGCGCCCGCGCCTTCCCGCTCATGGCCGTGGCCGCGGCCCGCCGCGCCCGCTCCCTCCCGCTCGTGGCTGTGGCCGCGACCCGCCGCACC